TAACACACATGATATAAAACCTAAACTAAATTACCCAAGCTTGATCTTGATCTTCATTATAGCTCAACTTGGTACACTGTGCGGATGAAGCTGAACTTGGATCTTGAACTTTGAATTGCATAAGCTTCATCGATATTCCACCAACCTCCTTTGAATATGATCGTTGAAGCTCTATTCCATCCATCCTTCAACTACGTTGTTTGTCTATAATAAATAAGAAAACACAAATACTAGACAAACAACATTAGTGGTAAATTGTTTGTTAAACATCATCAAAACAAGAAGGCCAACAAAGTTTACTCCATTTGTAACTTTGATACCCTAAAGTTAAGTTCACCTCAATTTTTAACTTTGCTATTGTTTTCTTTTGCTCAAAAATACCCCAAAGTTCAACCAATTAACTTTCATACACAACTTTAACAAAAATTCAAACCTTAGAGTTCTTTCTTTGCCCATAAAATACCCCAAAGTTCACCTCATTTTTAACTTTGCTATCTCAAAGTTTTTTTTTTGCAGGAAATACCCCAAAGTTCAACCAATTAACTTTGATATGAAACTTTAACAAAAATTCAACTTTGTTACCTAGACTTAAACAAAAGTCTAAAAAAAAAATATAAGTTTGGGGTATCAAACTTAAATTTTGTGGTATTTTTAAGACAACAAAACTTTGGGGTAACAAAGTTAAACACGAGGTAAAACTTGTGGGTATTTAAGTAAAACAATCCTTTTGTAGTTATTAAAACTAAAAGAACTTGCAATGTTGCAACTTTTTTCTACGAAGTGTAAATCCAATTATCATTCCCAACTACCTTGTTGCTAGCCTAACTAAACACTTGAAAGATATTTTGACCGCAATACTTGATGCTGCAACTCTATTACCCGTCCACCAAAGGACCCCTAATGGATAATTTATAGAAATCCAAGTTTGATTGGATTTTATTGAATATGCTACAGATGGAGAATATTGCTTTCAATGGTTGGTCTATTTGAAGGAAAAGCAATGAGTTTTGACTCTTTCAATAAGATATTGAGTTGGACATAGTTGCTTATTTATTTTGTGACAATTGATTCATTTCATAAACTTTATCCTGCTTGGAACTTTAATATATTTTCACATACTAGGCTATCATGAGAAATTTATATTTCTTTTTAGCCTTGAACCATTTGGTGACTTTTCTCTTTGGTTCAAAATGGTTGGTAACCTTTGATCTGACTGAGCTTTTATATGTTATGATCTTGACTTCTCCATAAACAATTATGTTGCAATTATCCTTTCACTTTAGAAAGTGTACTCTTTTTTTGGTGAGAATATTTTGATCTCTAGATATAGAATTTAGTTCTAAGCATTTATTCTTGTGAATACCAAATTCGTAGCCCAATCCATTCATCATCTTCATCTACATCATTTAAATGCCTAAAACAAAAAACTTGTTAAAGTTTAGTCAGACATATAAGCATAAAATTCTTTTCAACTAGTTCTCTGGTGCACGATATGTGCATTATGTAGTAAACTTGTGTGTAAAAAATGTTTTTAACATATTAATAATCAATGCTAATATGAATAGATTTTTAGAAAATTATAACTAAAAGTGCTATAAACCAAAGTTTTAAATGTTGGTAGACATGTCGGTTTGAGGGCTTGAGCGACACGACATGGGCGTTTTCAACTCATATGTCGATTTCCAGGGCCAAATCGGAAATATTGGGGCCATATCGGGCATATCGGCCGATTATTCAGTTTTGAAAAATCGGCCAATATGACCTTTTTTTAGATATGTTTTTTATTATCGGGTTTGGGTTTAGTGATAAAAATCCAAACCCGTTTGACCCGTTCTCATGTATAAGGATTTCTTATGAACCCGATAGAAAGAAAAAAGAAAAATTAGGGCTGCAGCGGGTTTGGGAACCCATCACTCCTTTCGTGAACGACAACACCCTTCCCTCATCTCCATCTCGGCCCCTTGTCGTCCATCTCCCGTTGCGTCCCGAAATCCGAACCCTAACCGAACTCGAGGACGACAGGGTATCCTGTCGTCGGGATAAAGGAAAGGGTGGTCCGTGACTCATCCGAAGGACCCTGAGCAGACGAAGAAGAAGAAGAGCCCGACACTGCCTCCCTATGACGTCCCGTCGTCGGCACTGTCTCTCTGCGACGTCGAATTCCACCCATCGTCGACGCCATCTCTAGAATTTATAAAGTATGTTTATATTGAATTTAGGAATGCTTAGATTACATTTAGGACATGATATTATATATATGCGCACCATCCAATTTGGCAATACGACATTTAGTCCATGTCCCCCGATATGCCCCCGACTTTCGCTATCCGACATGGATTTCAGCCATCCGACATGAATCCGATATCCAACATTTAAAACATTGCTATAAACTGTATTAATATTAGAAAATGTAGGGAGTGGAGCGAGTTATCAAGTAGTGAATGGTAGTTAGAGTCCTTTTAGATCTTTCTAATTTCATCATTCTGATTAATTTCAATGTACACTAAATTGTTGAGGACATATATTGATTTTTTTGAAATCTTGACACCTATAGGGATCATACTTTCTTTAGAATGGAGCGTATATGGACAAAAATAACTTGACCCTTTTAATTATTACATTATTATTATATTTCATCCTAATTAATTTTAATTAATAAATATAAGCTTCAATTATCCTATCCTAATTAATATCTATATAAGCTCAAATCTGATTTAAGTATGTTAAAAATTATATTAAGTTATATTTAATTGTTCAACCTTCACGTTCAGTTACTTCTCCAGAAATTACGAAATAGAAAATCTCAGAACTTACATATTTTATTTAATAGAGAAAACAATAAATATTTAAAAATTTGACAATCTAAATATTTGAATCGGGAAAGTAACAAGTAAAAAAATAGAACTCTTAATCTTAGTATTTGTTTCTTATATTTAAATTTAAAAATAAAGATAATATATAATATTATGAAATATGCTCACCTCCTAAATTATTTTTTATAATTAAGGAGACAAATGTCAATTTTACGTGACCAAGCTAGAAAATATCCAAAATCCATATAATTTACACAACTCGTAGAAAAACCCGAAAGACATAATTTGAAAATTAAAAAAAAAAATCAACCTACAAAGATATTTTTATATTTTGCGTTGAAATCCAAAATACTTCAAATGTTAAAAGTTTTACAAAAAAGTCCTAGATTTTCTAAAATTTGCAAAAAAATCCAAAAGAATTCGTTACATTTCAAAGATATTTTTAATATGATTTCATTGTAATAATGTTCTAATTAATTGAAATATCTTTAATAAGATACAAGCTATAGATAGTTTTTCAATCTCCATGTTTGATCATTTATTAAGAAATTACAACATAGAAATCTCAGAACTTAAAAAAAATTATTTCCTAGAGAAAAAATATATAAATATTTTAACTGTCGACTACTGAAAGATTTAAATTTGACATCTAACAAGTAAAATAAAGTACTTTTTATCTTATCATTCGTTTCTGTATATTTAAATTTAAAAATAAAGATAAAAGATTGTTAGATGACATTATGAGATATTCTCACCTCCTAAATTACCTTCGTAATTAAAGAGACAAATCATACTTCCTTTAAAAGTGTGAGTTAAGAAATTTTTTTCTGTGATCAATATTATCCTTTATCATTTTAAATACATTCCAATCATGTTCTAAGTAATAATAAAAAATAAATTTATTTTGTTATTACAAATTTAAAGAAATAATCTTTCCTTTATATATAAAGATAAATGGTAGTTTGCTATTAAAACCTCCCATCTCAAAAAAATAAATCTAATCATATATTTACTTAAAAGTTCTCATCAAATTAAAACTATGCATAATTAAAAAATTTTAATTATCAAATATTTTGTTATCCTAATGAAATAATGACTATCCATAATTAAAAAAAATTGTCCTCGTAAATTCAAGAAAAACTTGTTAGAAAATTACAAACAACATTCTAAAAAATTTTAAAATAACAAATATCTCCTTGAAATCAATAATTGCAAAAAAATAAAAAAATTGAAAACTTAAAAATTGTAAAGAGACCCTATAAATTCAAAAATTAGAAACAACCTCCAAAAAATTCAAAATTAGAAACAACCTCCTAAAAAATATGAAAGTTACAAAAAGTTAGATAAGAAATTCAAATATAAAAAAAACCGGGAAAATATTGCAAAAAGACCTCCTAATATATAAAACGTACAAGCAAACCCTTAAAATTTTTAAAATTATAAACAACTACTTAAAAACTTCAATAGTTACAAATATTCATACTTCCTTTATAAGGCGAAAATTACACAAAATCTCCTAAAAGATTTGAAAATTACACACAAAAAAACCCTTTAAAAATCTGAACATTATAAAAAACTTTAGCGGGGGTTTTCTACCAAAAGCTATTGGGGGTTAAATGACAAAACTTAAAACTTATTGGGGGTTCTCTATTAAAATTTAGTGGGG